CCTCAGACGGGATTGATTAACGCCAAAAACTTTATCCTTTATCCTTTTACTGTAACCTCGAACATTTACGCATTCTAACCCAACAGATCTTTTTGATCATTGTTCCCTCACGAATTTCCATTCCTTGTTCCCAGATATCCCGTATAGTACTGTTTGAAGCTGGGTAGGTTATTCTGCCCTCTCTAACTGCAATCTAGCCCATTTGCCGGGGCAAAAAGTCACAGCGCATTTAATTGGGCGAGCCTGGAAATGTCGGAGTTTAAAGGTGAAAAAGTCGTTCGGTTTAGTTCGAGTCAATCATCAAGTTGTCATCAATCATTGGTAGCTTCAGCTTTTTTTGCCACCACTCACACAGACATATTGACGTTCCAACGACGTTGTGCATATGATACTAATCGATTGATTTCAGTCTAATAGCTCTATGGATTATGTTTATTTATACTGCGGGTATTCTATCTGTTTTCTATATGGTAATTGTTGGATATGAACAAAAACCTCAGTCAGATGATGACGATGTCGAAAAAAACGGTGTGAACGATTCTAAACAACAGGAATCGAATTTGTAGAAGAATGAGATGTCAGACTTGACCCGTATAGTTATAAATCGCATAGATTCTATTAAGAACGCTTGTACATTTCTGTCCTTCATTGTTTCTTTCATGTGTCATATCGTGTTGTTATTTCGAGAATGGTGCCTAATGAATGGCCATCGAATAAAACATCGAATGGCGTATAGATAGATCGTTTTGATACTCACCTAATGAGTTCCCAGACGGATTCATCTAACCATAAGACTATTATTGAAATTTTATAGGGCGCCAGGTACTGTCTGTAATAAAGATAAAAGGGTCTGTCATGTTGCCTGCGACTAGTTGCGGCAACTGGATGCAGATGAGCGCATTTATAGTGCCGGCTTTCTGACGCCGAAGTCGGCGGTGTCCATCGATCAATACCGAGCGAGTTGATGAGTCACGATTTAGTTGCGGACATATAGCGAACGAATAAAGAGGAAGGAGAAAAAAATTGTTTAGCTATAGCAAAAAGGAAGGTAAGGTCTGCCTTTCCTAACAAGGTATCGTGGCATGAAAAAGAGTCGGCCATCAAATGCGTCGTGTATAATCGCCCAGGTGTCTCTCACAGAGACTCGCCGACACGTCGAGAAAGGCGTTGCAGTATAAATGCGCCCGATGGCAAGCAGTACTACAACAATAATTAGAGTTAAATATATTGTTATATATATATATATAATTAAATATTCGAAGGTACATCAATTGGGACTATTACCGGCTGCTCGTAGCTTGTAATCAAGTAGCTGAGTTCTAAAGTAGACAAGGATTTTCGAGTGTAGATAAGGCCTAGCTTCTTTGGGCTGGGCAAATCATCCATTTTGACAAGGCGAGTTAAAAAAAAGCAATACTTATTTCCAATGAAATTTTTTTGTGCTTACATCTACGGAAAAAGGAGAAGCTTAGTGCGTCAAGGTCTCATAAGAAAAAGCATACTCAGGAGCAATACTGTAGAGCCTTCATCCTTCTTTCTGAGCTCTGAACAGCAATTCTCGCAAAATTGAATCATTCTTACACAGGGTCAATGCCATGCAACTATCATCAGTGCCCTGAATTAGACTTGGCACTTGCTTCAACAAGGTGGTTCGATGCCTTTGTCACCTTAGGAATATGATCACCATCTTCTCTACGCCGGAACCTTTTTCAGCATGAATTCTTGTTTGTATTATACTTCACGCAGGACATTACATATCAGCACATAAGTTTCTTTGAGATCACCCAATTCCGAGGGAGAATGGACTACACTGACTGTGAAACTAGAAATGGATAAATGTGTCCAACTGCCTTTCTGCGTGTTTTCTGGTTTGCTGCTATCTTCGGAAACCTTACTTATTGTTCAATACATATAACCCCTGAAATGAACACCCTTCCAAGCATTCTATGTGCCCAACCGTTATTGTATTCCCCTTATTTTTCGGATTGAGAGAGACTACGAGAAGCGAGTTTCCTAGTACCATTCGAGAGGAGAACGTCCGTTGCGCGTGTCCGTCGAAAGTAGGTCACCCCGCCCACTCCGCGCGCGGCGCATCACACTGAGGTCTCGAGATGACATTACAGTACCACCAAGTGTCATTGGAGCAAATGATTTGCATTTGTCTGTGTTATCTTCTCCTTGAACTGACTGCCGTAGACCAAACGCAAAGCTATGCCCCAGTGACAATTGCGACGTCTGTCAAATATCGCGGGCCGGATCGCCGCGTGCGACGGCTGCGGCGTGACCTAGTTTCGACGGACACGCGCAACGAAGCGCACCCCATTCGAGATGAATATGTGGGTGTGCGAGGCATAGTGGAAATTCTGTTGATGTATGTCACACGATAGAACGATATTTCTGCTGATCATCAAGTAGAGCTGAGAGACCCCTCAGAACTCAGGGGCTAGCAGGGGTTTCGGCCTTCCAGTCATCTAGCATTTATTGAAAGGAAGAAAACTCGTGCTACTATGTAACCCCGGGTCGTTGATGGACCTTTGAAGTAGTGGTTTGAATGGTTGGATGTGAAACCTGAACTGTAAAGATCTTGAAGAGGGTATTCAGAGCATGCCAACTTTTTCGTTTTTCTACAGAGTATCCTATATGGGAAGGAATCTCTTCGTGATAAACCTAACTAAGAGCGTTAGTGGAGAGTAGGTTCAAGACTGACAATCATCTCAGCTGCACTGAAACTTCTATCCAATCTTAAGTGACTACTGGTCAAAGCAGAAGACGCTAGCAAGGTGTGTAGGGCTTTTCTTTAGGTTATACGTTCATAGCGAGATTAGCTTCAAATCAGAAAGAAAAACTGCTGATATGGGCTGTGTTACTAGACCGGTCGAACTTGAAGCATCTTGAAGCTTAGTGCCCCTGAAAAGATATATACAACACGTCAAGGATTTCGTTGTAAGATGGCTGCTTCCGAAGCACTTGAACTTGGCCATTTCGAGTACGTTTCGGATTTTCCAACGTACTTCTTGTCATTATACTGTTCCGTGTTCCCGATTGGAATAGGTATTCCCATAACGATTTTGTTGGTGTAACATAGAAAATAAAAATACGGTGGAGAGGGAACTATCCAACGCTAAAGGATGCAGGATCGAGTTTTGAGAAGGTAGAAGAACCTGATTAGCAAGTTCATAAAAGCCAAATAAAAACCAGTCTTCGAGCTTTACCTAGTTTCAACAGCGAAGCAGGCGTTACATTTTTCATTCACTGATGAGCGTTTTTATTGAAAGCTGGTGATTATCCCGCAGCCGATATCTGAATCTGTTCCACTGCTCTATGAATAGGTCTGTGGACATGAGAAAAAGTTGTTGCCTATCCAAGTACCTAATCATCTTCGAAACGTCTCAAGAGTATTTCGCATAATCCTGTCTGTTATGAATTATGCTTTTCATTGTGAGGGGGTAGGAGGGGGTGTTGTGCAATAGGAAGAAATCGTCGCGTCGCGGCGAGAGAGACGTCGCTCGCGAAGGAATGTAGCAGGATGCAGCACAAGTAGGGAATACAGGAACCAAAGAACTAACAGTAGAATATGCCATAAGTAATAATCGCATATTGAGTGAGCTGTATGAAAAACGCTAAAACTGTTATAATAAGGCAAATGGTCCACGACAGCCGCGTGCGGCGAATCGATTACACAAAACCATTCCCACTGCCCGTCTCCCGGTAGGAGGCGGCACATAGCACATGCTCAATTTGAGATTGGGTTGTGCTGTCATGAACTCAGGAGTTCTTCTCCCAGACGACATTAGATTCGCGTCAGGGAACGAAGCCTTGGTTCGAAATGTCGATGTCGAAGCGACTGGGTGGATTAAGTTCCCATTGCAATGCTTCTGTTGATCTGAAGATCCTTCCGAGCGTATTAAACAAATGAATTTTCATCCTAAAGCCCTTCGACCACTGAAGTGGGTCTCAATCTACGCCGGTCTGCCATGTCCGAACCGGATTCGTTCGAATGGCGTCGACGCTAGCACGAATCAGGTCAGGGTTTTCGATCTCATAACCCATTTCAAAGTTGATCCATGACGGCGGCAGACTTTCGACTTCAGTTTCTTAGTCGTAGACTTCTTCCGATTTCAAGTCGCTGAGCATCTCAATGACGCGTGAAGTGATCTGGCCGTCGAATACGAAGACATTCGAGACGTTTGTTCCTTCCGATGAATCCAGAGAGACGGGCAGTAGGCACGGTTTTGTGCAATCGATCCGCCGCACGCGGCTGTCGCGAATCATTTGCCTTGTTATAATAGTTTAGCGTTCTTCATACAGCTCAATCGCTATGCGATTATTACTTATGGCATGAGTCTACTGTTAGCTCTTTTGTTCCTGTATTCTCACTTGCTGCGTATTCTACCACATCCCTTCGCGAGCGGCGTCTCTCTCGCCGCGAACGACAATTTCGTCCCTACTGCACCACACCCCGAGGCGAACACTCAGTCAAAAAATGAGTACTGTTTAGTGTTGCCATATGCTCTAAGGTGGTTAGGATAGTGACTTCTCATATTATTGTTGATTTAATAAAACAAGTTGCATTATTTTCCTTGTGATTTCAACAAATATTCCTAACTAAAATATTTACCAGATCATGAGACAGACTACACTTAAGTTTGACATCCTAATCCGACACGCACAACTCGGATCGCAATCACAACCGAAAAGGCATTTGCAGAGGTACATACACAATAAACAATAATGTACACAAAAGGAACACAAACGAGATATTTTGATAAGAAACGAACGTCAAGGAAACAACGAACAAAGACATCACCTGGGTGTGCCCATTACTATTCAGTATACCCACATTTGAGGTGTGAGTACATGTAACGAGAGCTCAACTACCAGCACGCAACAGATTCCTATCTCATTATCAATGGACCGTCAAATTAACCTGTAAGACAGAAGCATGCACGCTTTTTTCAAAAATTATGCACAAAGCCCTGAAACCTAAAAAACTGCTTGAAAGTTAAGAGAGTCAGTCAGTCGATAAGAAAGCAAGTAGTAAGGATGCAGTTGAGCTTAACCCAAATTACTCGTCGATGCGTTCTAGGGAAATACATAACAAGAAGTATCTTCATGGAACGAAATACTGTTAAATCAGTTTCTACTAATTCTTCTGTTGATAGCATCCACATAGGCTTGATGGATCTGAGCCAGAAAGTGGTCATCCGTCTGCATTAGATGGATCAATGCAGCAGCAAACTATAAACAAACATTAATTACTGTGGTAACATCGTACTCACAGGTCTAACGAATCTTTGGAATTTCATCCAAACATAAAAATAATCTGTCATTGGCATTCTACAAGTACGAATTTTAAGTGGTACCTGTAGTTTATTCAATGGCGGAGTGGTGTTACCAGAACCAACTGTGAAAATCGAATCGTCTATTGGAGCGCGACTGCTTACGATCGATTCAACCTAAAAGTGAAAGCATGTCTTGAGTAATAGGCAGTATGACATCTGTTTATATCAGTGTACCTCATTGGCGTCTGCCTCCCCATCGCTTCCATGAATTGAGCGATTTGATAGTGCAGCTAATGAAGCAGCCGAACCTGACGTCAGCATTTCCTGAACAGCAAAATGCTCTACGTGACAACGGTCTCTAGTACAAAGATTAATCTTTATAAATTTAGTGGCAATCGCACTTTCTTGACAAAGCTAATGACCAGATTGATCAGGTGTAAAAGAAGAAATGGTCGAGGGGTCTTCAATAACAATGAATTTCACAGCAAAATGGTGGTCGCAGTCATGCCAAAAAGCAGAGGCTCAGCAAATATAGATAAAATTCAGTGAAAAGTAGAACCTAACCTGAAATTGGCAGTGCTTTGGTTTTGCTGAACGAATCAAGTCCTTTTCAAGATCTTCTGATGTCAGTACAGTTGAGCCCACCTAAAATTATAATCATTTGGCGACTCTTTAGTCAGTCAGCGAAGTTGTAATGGTTGTAATGTGAAATGCCAGACCTTTGAAATCAGCTTTGGCTGCTCCTGAATCATAAGCTTCTGAAGTAGTACAGGCATATCTGATACTGGACCTGATGCTGTTCCTACCTCGTCCTCTTTCGGCTTCGGCTTTTCTTTTTCTGGTTTCTCCTGTGTGGAGGATGGAGGACGTGCATTTGAAGAGACATCCCGATGATTACCCTGAAATCTTTAGATCATTACTCGAAGCTAGGTTATCATGAAAGTACCGCTAACAAGAGTGGTGAAGAAGCAAACAGAAATCAAAAGTTCATGGATTACCTGGTGGGTTGATGAAGCTGGTTGCGTAGTTTTCAGAAGTTCTAGCAGTTGATTCGACTCATTAGGAGGTGCTACAGATTCTGGGAGATTTGAAGAACTCATTTCATCTGAGGTGGGCGGTGCAGGTATCTAAACACTTTTTACTGCTCATTTGTTTTGATCAGTCGTAAACAAAAATTATGCATTGACAGAAGCTTTTAGGTATTTATCAATGCAACAACACTCACCCTCCCGGCCCTAATGTCTTCTTGAAGTTTCTTGAGTAGGTTATACATCCGTGTGCAGTCTTCAGTGGAAAAGAACCACAAGCCATAAATCTGATCTAAAAAGGATTTACTCATGACGAATACCTGCACAATGCAACAGAAAGGGGTCAGGCTAAAGTGAGGGAGAAGCTACAACTTACTGTCAGGCTTACAGAAGAACAGATAGTGGCCTTCGTTGTTCATTTTCGTAAGAGGGTTCACAGGCTCCACCATGTCATCCAACGATTGGCGATTAGCAATGATCATGCTGAAAGCCTATAGTATGAAGCGCTGAAGTGTGTAGTGTGAAATTGTCCCCAACAAACAGTTTGAACTGAATTTCTACGCAGTGGATTAACCAAGACAACTTCGCCAAGCTAATGCATTCGAGGGCCATTTTTTTTGCAGGGATGAGCCCAATCGGACCAGAAGAGGAAACACGGGGCCGAAATTCTATGAGAGGCTTCCCGAAACCAATGGATCGATTTTCCTAATCAGAAAAAACCAGACCACCTTAGTAGGTTTGGGCACTAAGAAACTAAGCGATAGAGATAAGTGGAACTGGATTTTCAATACCTGTAATAAGGTTTATCAGCTCTCTGTATAATAAACAACGCTCCTTCGATATTTGTTTTCGTCCATGCCTTCGCAACCACATCGAAATTGTATTTGGCAGCATGTGTAGTCTGAACAAATCATTATTTGTGGGGCCATTATCCATCCACTGCATGGAGACCATATAAAAATCGAATCTCTTACTTTGTCAAGGATTGCGACAGCACAAGGGTCGATACGTTGAATTGATAGGAGATTCCTTGCAGTCAGATTGGGATCAAGTCTTGATTTTTGCTCCATATTCTTGAATCAAATCAAATGACAATGTCGCTTGAGTAAACATACAAATTGACGACAACCGAAGACCTCAGGTCCTGAGGAGAACAGGAGCGGTGCAGATAGAAATTGTGATTAAAGTCACGTAATTGCAATATGCAAACAAATTGAATTCTAATAAGTTTATGTTTAAAAGGGCGTATTATAATATTAGGCAGAATTGAATACTCAAATGGAAACTATTGAAACATGGAGGAATACGGTATCAAGCTATGGCATCTCATAGTGCAGCGTATTTTAAAACAAATCTTCCCATCGATGGGACAGCCTAAGTAACCCATTATTGATGCGATAGCTCGAAGTAGTTAAGGATGTGCTTGATTGGAAGTTACGTGAAAATTCACAGAAACCAACACGAACTCAAGGAGCAATTTGGATTATTTGTAACACCATGTTAGTTTCGCATCGATACACTCACAGTACCCGACACAAAGGTTCTCTTTGAACTGCCAAGGGAATTAATTATTCAACATTAAAGGTTCTAGAGCGTGACGTGTTTTTATGAAAAGTATGTTACAGTCTATAATTTCACAGAAAAATTCTGCGTGTATCGATTAGCACGAGACCTCCCACTGTGTTCCTCTTTGGGTTCTGAGTCTGAGGAGAAGAGCAAAGTTCAACGAATTCAACTTGTCAGTCAAATGGGTGCAGTATGATTGAGTCCACAGGGAGAATCGAAACTAAGAACTAAGGAGGCGATCCCTTTCGTACTGGCTCCGCCTGAATTCATCACATGAAAACAGAGAACTGAACTTCAGTTTTGTTATTTTGCCGATTTTTCCGAAATTAAGGCACCTGACTATTAATCTGCAAAATCTTTTCGCAGAATTGCCAAAAAAAGCCAAATCTGTCCACAAAGCAATCACCCCGGGAAGCCACTCAAGCGTCAACCGTATCTTGTTTTTTTCTTATTGCCAGCTCCGATTCACCCAGTCAAAAGCTATGAAAAAACTCATGGACAGCGTCCAGTACCTTGGAAATACCAGAGCAGAAGTAATGGCGAAAAGGGTTGAAAAGGATATTGACGATAAAAATCGGGAAGATCCAAGCTTTTAGCTGCTTTTTACTGCCCTTCGTTTCCTTGACCCACCCTCTAATCGATATTTATCTAGAACTTTCCGCTAATTCTCCAATATGCCGGGCACACAGACTATACACATTGCTAGAAAAGGCCATACTACAGAATTATAAGGCGTAATTATCACTACGATTCTAACCCGACGCTCTTATCACCCCTTTTATGGCCACACCTGGCATTTTGGAATTAAAACCCCCAAAAAACTCAGTCATGAAAGTCAAAAGATTAAGATGCTCCTTCCTTTCCGTGATACAAGGCCCTCCTGTCAGTTCCGTAGTCCCACCGATACAACTAAACAAATAGTAACCGGCCCTTTGCAATATAAATTTTCTTGATAAAACGATAGAAGTGTTCGAACGAACAATAGTAAACGGTGTCCTGCTGCTGAATAATTCTTGAGATATTGACCGACACGGATTTCTTATTTAAAATCCGATCCCTAGTCATTGTTTAAACAGATTATTTGTAGAAGTTTAATTCGGTTTAAGCCGTTGGGACGCTTTCGCTGCATTCCAATCCCTAGTAATGATTCCGAAAGGCTTAGATAAATCCCCAAACCACCTCTGAATAGCATACTGCCCAGCTTCTAGATTGCCATAGCAGCCGTTAAATGCACATATAGTGACGGTGGAAAGGTAGTTTTTATTCTTGAAGGCATTGAATCCGATCGGATATGACAATTCATATGTCATGCCCATTGGGATCAACCTGAAAGTATTAAAACTCGTGGGTACTTCAGAATAATGGGTAAACTTTGTGCGTACAAGTAGTGCAAAAGAATTACAAAGCTTAGAAACTAACAAGTTACAACGGTGGTCCAAAATGTTCTTACACGCGTTCAAGAATTTTTAAACATTAACGACGTTCTACTAAGCGACAATACTCATGACGTGAGTTTAGCCGCGCCGCAGCAACTGCACTACCTGCAGTTGGCTCTTCACTGTCGTCAGCAGTGAATTGATTTTCATGCCGCTTGTTCCATTGCTTGTTTGTCAATAGCCAATCTAGGGCATATCTACAACATTTTTGCAAAGTTTAGAACCTTTTCTATCAGAGGATTCTCAGGTCATCCCTCAGAATAGGCTGGTGTTTGTGATTTGGGCTCTCTTGATTAGATATAGCTGTTCTTGTGAATAATGTTGAATTCCATGTCAGAATAAAGTTGGCGGGTCCATCCATAAGTTTTAGACAACGTACTTAACCCATTCTTTTGGTAGTTTGTAGCAACCTTTGAAATGATTGCTAATAACTAATGCTTCCAGCTTAGTTGTAAGGTCAGCTGAAGGGCAAGTTTTTTTTGCCCTGCAATAAGGATGCCACATTGATTAGCAGTGATTCTAGCAAGCTATGGCTTGCGCCCTAGTGATTCACTTAGAATCCGTCTTCCAGTGTCACTTTTCCTTCAACAACTTTCTAGTCTATCATAATTGCTGCCAGATTTGGATAAAC